CTAGTAGTCATCATCGTTGTGTACGAGAGACGCAAGAATCCAGACGACATTATTGAAGGTAAGAAAGCTTTGTCCGTGTTATGAGCAGTAGGCACTAACACATAATAGGAATGAATAGTATGAATGAAGGCCATTATTTAAAGAACAATTTTGCAATTTCAAACCTTTTAGAGGGTTATTTGTGTCTTTGGCATAGAAAGTATTGTCAAAAGTCATCAAAAGCAAAGTGCATCACATCTTAAAGAACCAGTGTCTAGGATGTAGGGGAATTAAAGGTAGGGTAGGTAAGTTTGAGAAACTGGCTCGAGATCGCTAGAATTTGAAAATACACAACCGGAGAAAATCTGCCACTTCCTTACAGAGCCCCTCCTCCAACACACACGAACGCGCACATGACCAATGAGGGCACGAGATAAGTTTGTGCACAGATGGAAGGCTGACAGGCAGGTAGGCCATCCAGTTATTTTAGCCGGGCCGGCTCAGATGATTGGTCGTGCTTTTTACAGTACCACGGCTTCCACAGATTACATTTATTTATGGATTTTTTGTCAAAGCACTTAAGATATTCATTGCTATCGGGACGTTAAGAGCATTCCATGGAATATAACAAAAAGTGTATCTCGAGCCGGTTTCTCAAACTTACCTACCCCACCTTTAAGTGCCAGATGTATAATATCATTTCATAAACATGTTTTAATAAGAATACTATTATAATGTTTGCCGTGTTGCACCACTATGAAAAACACTGAATCTGGAGAAGGGCTTGTTTTAATATTACCTGAAGCCACCATAGGTTCTTGTAAAGGGAGGAGTATTTCTAACCGATAAATTCCACTAAATTCTACACACTGGTTATTTAATCAATAAGATGTTTACAGAGAAGTACCACAAGGTTGCATCTTCTCTCAATGGATATATGTATCAAATAAATGTCTCGGATTGCCTTGGATGCATGTAAATATGACCTTTATACATTTGTAAACTACTCAACAGAGGCTAACCTTTCAAAGACTTGGCTGTCTGTAATGGTTTGTTTTCATGTTGATAGCAAAAAACATTAACGTGGGTTTTGTCAGCCTGTCGCTATATATACTTATTATATATACTTAATTGGTTACTATTCTTTTCCCTTCCCCAATCTTTCCAAATGGAAACATAATCTAACCGGGTGGTAAGTGAGAGATTCTGCATGGTTTCGGAGATGTCATTTCTTTCTGTCAATATATATGTGTTTACAAACCAGAAGCTGAGATATGAATGCAGTAAAGTTTATTTCTTATATACGTTATTGTGAAATGAACATGTGTCTTCATTCATTTCCCCTTTCATAAGGTTGAACCCATACAGTCCGACATGTTTTTTAATGTTTTAACTTGGATTAAAATCCATTTTGTTTCCTTAACTGTTCTTAATTAAAATGAATGCCTGTACAAGTATGTAAGCAGTCCTAATGTCACAGGCTAACTCATGTCAATGAACTGTTAGGCTTGGGAGCAGAAGATACAGTTATTCACTTTGACTGTTAATGACAAAACTTTCCCATTTTCTTTTTAGATATTTAAATCCCAAAAACCTGCATGCCTTGATTCAGTTCTTGGGTAACTGTGCCTCTGCTTGGTGAATGAACAAACTATGTATACTTCTTATATCAACTGAATTTTTATTTAAAAAAAATATTATCTCAACAATTTGGAGTAAGTTACTCAAGCAGACGCACGTAAATGGACAGGTTGAAATATTAAGGCTATACATCACCAAACACAACACATTGGTGTTTTTATAACTCAATAAGAACATTAAATTAAATGAATACTAAGATGTAATTCCTCTAATACAGGACCCTTGTTTTTCAATATAATGTATATTATAAAAAAGACAAAACTTGAGTCGTTAAGGCAGATACAGTCGAAGCATTACAAGGCTTTTTACCCTAGTGGCTAATTGAGGTTACACCAGTATGGTCTTAACATTAAGCCAACATATCAAAAACACAGCTGTATGAACAAATTAAAACACAGGAATAAAAAAGTTAGTTTTGTTAACATACACAACGAGTTATGCAATTATTTAAACGTACTTATTATTATTAGTTTTGTCTTTTTATTCCTAGCATACAATCAGCTTTTCCAAAAGAAATGTCCCGTGTTTTTGGAGGCTAAATCCTACAATGAGAATGTGGAGAGATACAAATGTCTGGAAAGCCGGAGGGCGTTTCCAGTCACCACGGGTTCTGTCTGACCTCTACTCCTGTGGCTTTGCTTTCTTTTCATTTCCAAATAAAGCATGAACACAAGATAAAAAACAAAATCCCAACCACTAATATATGAATCACTCCAACTGGGCCACAGTACACTCTTAATACAGACTGCACACATTGAGCTTTAGGGTACATCCTGCTTTTCATGGGAGAGATCTACAAAATTATTGTAGTTCCAACTAAATACGAGTTGAATGTGTGACGGATATGAAATAGAAACATCTGTTCGTGGCTTCAGTATTTGAAAGTGATCTTCATCTGGGATGCTGTTTCTCTTTTTCCCACACATAGCTTAAGAGTGAGACTAAACATGTATTAACTGGTTAAAAATAGTGCTCATTGATGCTTTACAACCCACTGATTCATTAGCATCAACACCAGTTGCATCATATGAACATAATATACAATCAGTTTTACTCAGTAATCAGTTTTTAGGTACCTACATGTCCTTAGTTGAACATAATAATGTATACTGAACCATTAAAACACTATGATAGCTAACTGCATTTATAATCATCTGTTATCTTTATTCAAATAGCATTAGGTAATTTCAGAATACTGTTTGCTAATCATCCATAACAATTGTAAATCATTAGGGAAAAAACTGCACTTCACTACGATACTTGCTCAAAATACATGCACATACAAACCCTCCCAGCTCAAGTGGGCTCTCTGCATGGCCTCTAGTTGGAATTCATCTATTGGAAAAATGAAGCGATTAAGGTGGATTATATTCGCCATCTTTATGCCATTCAAATCAGGAACGAGGACTCTCTGCTCACGATGCACAGCCTCTCTAAAATCTCCCTGTAGCATCCCTGATTCCCGGAGGTTTTGGCCCCTGTCTGCATGCATTATGAATTCTGCTCTCTTGATGGCTTTGCTGTGTTTGAACACTTTTATACTCCAGAGCCAAGATGGCTTTTAGGCAGAGCCTGTCAGCCTGACACTTTTATACTGCGTTTCAAAACCAGTTGCGAAAATTACAGATGCTGCTGTGCTTAATAACAGCTCACTTAATGTAATAAGGCAAACTTAAAGCTAAAAAAGATGCACCCAGACGTCAGAGAAAACAACTAGAACCATAGCAATCAGCTAAAAATATATCTTACAGTAAAATGTGTGCTTGCAAAACAATTATAGTAAGTATAGTTTTTGTGGTGTATAGATAGTAGGTGTTAAAACTGCTGGTCATGCCAACAGATGTTCCTCCCCCAAGTAATCACACAACCATGTTTTTGTCTGACATTATAACTGCCATAATCTGCTCCATATTGCTGTTTATCTCTGACTTATAACTGCATGGAAAATATCTCACTGTGACTGACTGGTTACTTACCTGTTGACACATTTTCATCTGTATGCCAAACACCAACAACCCTGTCAACCCCGAGGCTGTGGGTCTTTCTTTGACTAACTTGTCACACAATATTCACTATTTTTCACCAGTTCCTCTTCCTCTTAATGACTGTTACATTGTAATGTATGTTATGTTTTTCACTGTACTTCGAAACATGCAATTTTTCCATGTTGTTCAAATGAATAGAAATAGTACACTGCACGTAGATATTAACCACTGTGAACTGCAGGGAATTGATGCTGAGAGAAAGCTTTGAAGGGATTCTTGTTTTTATGCCAAGTCAGTCACAATGTGACTCTTTCAAAATCACTGACATTGCTAAGTGTAATTAAAAGAAGGCTTTAAGTGAGCCATCTGTAATCCTCCTACACATATGCTCAGTCTCAAATGAACAGGAAACCCCTGAGATTCAGACAGTATGTGGAGTTATGTTTAGAAGGCTTGGCATTAGATATGCGCTTATTAGACCATACCACCGTACCATACCACATTCTCAGCCCCTTACTACATATTTTGTTCCTCTTTAATGCAAGAAGCTACTCAAATGTGTGAATTATTGTAGTTTCCTTCTGAGTCAGTAAATCAGACAAAAGGCTGGTGCATTCAAAGCTGTTCAGCAGCTCTCTCCCATGTCGTGATGTCAGAGCTTCCCACCGTCACGACTCTGCCACACCAGCATTCAAATATTCACAGCAATCTGTGCTGTCAGCTGCATCTTCCCACCATATTTATGTTCACTGAAGGATTTTGGTAGTCTATAACAAGCAAAATTCAGGTTGATTTTCACACCTAATGAAAGTACAATTGGGAAATCTGTCAGCAAAGTAAATATTTTTGCAGTAAAATGTGTTGAAACATGCAGCAGATATTCTTTATCTAATATCTGTGTTCTGATTTCGTCCCTTTTCTTCTTTTCTCTTGTCCAAGATGATGAACCAGCGGTACCAATGTAAGTAAATAAATCACTCACACACAATTACTTATAATTCATGCAGAATTACTGGGTACTGTGTTTTTATTTAGCTATTACCTGAATGTCACTAACCCTAACCCCTTTTTCCCCAGGAAAACAAATTCAACAAACAACCACAAGGATAAAAACATTCGCCAGAGGAATGCAAAATAAGCAATTTACTCAAGTAAGACACTGTTGTAGGGGATGCGGGCTAAATATAGAACTCACTGTGAGGATTATCCATAGTCACGCCTTCTCTTGATTTTCTCTTCACAGATGAGATGGCTAAACTGCAGTTTCTGGAGGTATCAGAGGTGGAGAGAGCTCCAGGCAGTTTCGAAAAAAAGCATATCTTGTCTCATTTTATGAGAAACAATATCAGCATAACACTGGCAACAAAAAGAACATAATGGCTGTCTTAAGCATGCCTTATTCAGTCTATCGTGGAGGTTTCAGGATGACGAATAATGACTAAACCACCACAAAGGTGTACACATTTTTAATGTGCTGTTGATGTCTCCTTTATTGATTTAATCATATCCTCAAATGAGGTGATCCCTTTTGTATTACATATCATGTACAATGCATGCAAGGTAATTACGCAATAGGATACTCAGAATAGAGATTTTCTGTTGTTATCCCCCGTGTGGCTTTTTTTGCATCTAAAATGACCTATGTTTTTTATGGAGTCATCCCTATAATATATATATATACATGTATATGTATATATATACATATATATAGTTTGTTTTATTCTTGACAATTTGTACAGCATATCATGGTCATTTAACTGTTTGATTTTGTGACGATGAGTCCACTTTTAACAGAACTTTTATTGTGAAGCAACGGCTTCAATGACTGGCAGTATTTACATTTAATTGAGTGCTTACAGAAAATGACTCCTGTGTGTTTATCTATCTAAACGAAAATGATAAGTGTATTATTATTTTTTTCTTTCCAGAGTAACTTAGGTGTCTTGTATATGTTGAAGTATGAGTGTTCAAATGATAGGAAATCTGTAAAAGATTTTTTTTTTTATATTTCCCAATTTCATTGATTGATTTTTACTTTCTATTTGTTCTCTCTTTAACTGTATAGCATGGCTATAATCCTATGCAATATGTATTCTTAAATAGATATATGGAGGGCAGTTTGTTTAACTCAGTGAAGCTTTAATATTGTGGGATCACTTGGAAGCTGGCATAGCAAAATTCACGGCTGTAGCTGCATGACTCCTCTTTCAATACGATGTATAAATGTGTGTTGCGGTGGGAATGGGCCGGCGTTAAGGTGGGATCAGAGGGACCAGAGTATATAGCCACGATCAAACATATGAGTGAGACCAATATTTTTTTTCTGAATAAAAATGTCAAAAAATGAAACCAGCTTATTTTTTCCGTGTTCTTCCTTTAACCACTTAAATGCACTACCATGAGAAGCATCCTCTTCAGGGTGAATACAATAACTACCACAGTGTAACATTTACAACAACGTCCGCAGTACAGTAACAATCCATAACCACCGCCAGGCACTGCCTACACAAACTCTATACGAATAAAAACATTGCACTGACTTCTGCCGTCAGCGGTTGTTGGGACTCTTCACTCTTGGAGGAGTTTCTTCAGCTCACCCTCCACTTTCTCCACAAATGCGTGAAAGCTGGGATCCAGCAGTAACACACGCAGGATGGGCTCCAAGTCACCTTGAATCGTAGAATTGTTGCGATACAATTGAGGCAGAATCAAAGCATGCTCTCCCAAGATGTGCTGAGGAAAGGCAAACAACAGAAACACCTATGTTCATGCTCAATTTAAGAAAGTATATACATCCTTCAGTTATATATAAAACACAATTACAATGAATATGTTGCACAGACTTACATACATTCAGTACTGTGGGCAATCCCCACAGGAGCAATTTGGGGTGAAGTGTCTTGCCCAGGGACACAACGACATGCTGACTGCAGTGGGACTCGAACTTGCTACCCCGTGATTCAAAGTTCAGCGCACAACCCCACTGAGCCACAGCCTCCCTTGTAACTTTACAATCACTACCTGAGTCAAACAAATACTTGAAATGAACAGTGAATTAAAAGCAGACAAACAATAGAAACACCTATGTTCATGCTCAATTTAAGAAAGTATAGGCAACCTGCGCCATATGAAAATCAATGCTCTTCAGTAATATATAAAACACAATTACAATGAATATGTTGCACAGCGAGTATTTCATTCTGGGTACCACTTTACAATAAGACTACCCTCTTAAAGGATTCATAAAGGGATTATAATTAGGTTGTAAACACTTTATTAACCATTTATAAACCAGTTCTAACAGTTTTCATACATCAACACAGGCTCACTATTTGGCAAGAGGACTAAGCCTTACATTGGCTACTTAGCGAGAATCAACTCAGTGAGCAACAGATACCAAGGATGCTGGCTGATGAAGAAGATGAAGTAAGCTAGGTAGCAACTATAAGGCTTAGCAGTACAGATAAATGTGGGCTCACTATTTGGCAAGCAACCGGTCACAGTTGCCCTGTTTATCTCCTGTCTTATAAAAGCTTATTAATGACTTGTAAAGTGTTCAAAACCTAATTAATGAATGAATTACAAACTATTCGTAAACCTTTTATAAGGGTAGTCTTATTGTGAAGTGGTGCCTAATTCTGTTATATCTCACTTGTAACTTTACAATCCCTACCTGAGTCAGACGCGTGATGGTCAGTGATCCCTGGGCCACTTCAGGCTCAGCTCCCACAGCCTTTTGCTGCATACAGACACACAACAGAAGAAAGCAGATGATGAACTCAGTGTGACTCCATAGGTTTCAATCAATGGCTTCATTATTAATTTAAACATATCCACGCCCCAAAGCCCGTTCATCTTCACTGTGAACTCCTTTACTGTGTCTGTTCACTAAAGAGTCCATTTATATCTCTGACCTTCGTGTTAAAGGTTGTTATTCACATGGCTGGATCTAAGTTTGACTACAAATTAGAATCAAGGATTAATCGAGTGTTTTCACATTTAAAGAATATAAAATGTTGCTACTGAAATGAAGCAGCACAGCCTTTTTGAGGTAGATCGAGTCTTAACGCTAACTGGTAAACGCTTTGAAAGCACGTTATATTATTCTCGGTTTCATAATCAACAATTTGACTGTTAAAGGCAATTTTAAGAATTCATCCAGTGACTTAAAAGGTATGCCACCTTAAGCTTGTATTTATTAAGTACTTTTATCATTTTTTGTGTATTCGTTATGGTGGGACACACTGTATTCTACACAATATATTGTATTGTGATTTGCTTCTGATTCATGTACAGTACATGCTCTCATCCTACTGTAGCTGCAGAGGCTAACATTAAGACAGTACTGTAAATAGCACCATCTAGTGAAAATACTTTAGCCACTGCTGATGAAACTGACCACAGCACAATACTTAAGTTTATGCAAGCAGTACTGATTATAACACATCAATTATGGCACTTTAAAATGAAGCTGATATTTTATTTAAAATGTACAATGGTGACATATGAGGTAAAGTAAAGCAGTATGTATTTAATACTGTACAGCCACGACTAAGCCATCTATGTCAGAAGGGATTTTCTAAGGGGAACACATTTTAACTGTACAAACAATTTCCTAAATTGTAAAGTGGGCAACCTGTATCACTGGTGCAGGGGTCTCAGCAGGGGACTGATTTGGGGGCAATGGGGCGTCTTCCTGAGCGGTGACAGACATGTACTCCATCAGTTTTTTCACAGCGCTGGAACAATCCTTTATTGCCTCTTTCCTGCTACTCCCATCAAACTGCATCCTCATCATGCGCTTCTCTCCCTGCAGGAAACACACAAACACATTCAAGCTGTGCCCATGAAAGCCATGTGTGTTGCTTTTGTTAAATCAACAGCTTGTTAAAGGTAATATAAAAGTAGCTGGGTACACAAGGAGACTTCCAAATGTAGTTTTAAGGAAATTCATGTATGATTAGCAGTGGCGGACTGGCCATCGGGACTTTCGGGACGAATCCCGATGGGCCGGTACTGAAGTGGGCCGGTCGGACAATGTGGGCCGGTCGAATAAGTCACTAGCACCCCCCGTTGACTATTTACTAGCGGTGTTTACTAGCGGTACCGAAGTGGGCCGGTCGATAGTCCCGGGCTGATTTTTAGTCCCAGTCCGCCCCTGCTGACTAGTAAAATATTTTTGGTAATATTTCAATTTAAGGAGGCTATGCAGCACTTTCAACCCGAATAAAAACTATAAATTAAAACCCAGAAAACCATTAGTTTACCATTTTAATTTGTTATAGTGGAATAAAAGTAATGGTCTTGATCTTGAAAGAGAGTTATGGTGTTAGGACAGACCTTGAGAAAATACTACCCATCAAGCCATTGCAATTCATCTCACGACTCACCTCATCTGTAAATCGAAGCATCAGGTTATCAGATTTCTGTTGTACTTTGAAAACATTGGTTCCACCGAGCAAATGGACTGCATCCTGGGGAGAAACACAACAAGACAACAAACGTCCTTAGCAGCCTGGACAGGAAACAGTATCATCCATAGGCTAAATTAAATGTGGAGGGGGTAAATTATAGAGGTGTACTATTCCAAGTGAAGCAGCTCCATTTCCACACATTCACTCTGTAGTGAGAAAAAAACAGATACCTCAAACTGTCTGCAGGGGTCTCTATTTACCCAGTAACCTCCGAGCCTAAGCTTTGAGGCTTATAATAAGCTTTTCACACAGGGAATCAAAATAGCAGATGTATTCATCAAAAGCCAAATATTAAAATAAGCCTATTCTGTTAAATGTGCCTTTTTTTAGACTTTGATAATAACATTATAGGTATATCAAAAAGCTTTGATTTGAACAATGGCACTGCACCAGCAGGGAGTGTGCTGTACTGAAGCATTATCATTCCACATCAATAGCGCTAAGTAATTAAGTAAGTAAATACTAAGTAGTAATAGTAAGGTCACCTAATTGTATCTGGGTCCATTGCAAAAATACCATCGCTAAATATAAGGAATTAACAATGACATTTTTGATGAAATGCGATATTCAAATGCTTTATTTCATTAGGGAAACAAATGATTGGATTTTAATGTCCATTTAAATGCACACATCATTTGGGATTATTAAAAGGAAAAATCTTCTGTTTTACATAATCCTTCACTCAGGTGGAATGAGATCAGATTATGGATTACTGGTACGGCCTGTATTAGCCTCTGTATATCTTCCATTTCCCTCTTGTTGCATTTATGTATTGTATATATTCTCACATGTTGAATTGTTTTTATGTTTAACTGTCTTGACCAGCCCTCTTGACCTGGACTCGCTTGAAAACAAGATCTTGGATCCGAATGGGACCTTCCTGGCTTAATAAAAGGTGTATGGAAATCTAACAAATGTAGATGAAGAATGATGGGAATCTTATTGTATGGCGGTCACAGTCGCCACCTCCCATCCCAGTGGAAGACGTACAGTAAAGGATATTCAGGATCAGCAGATGAGACAGTGCTAATGGCCATCATCATCAAAACACCAAAAGTCAGAATATCTTTTGAAACAATAGTTATTCGTACCTTTAAAAACAATGCCATGTACTGCTTAATCTTCTCTGGTGGCTCAAACAGACAGTATACTACAGTTAATGTTGTTTTTCCCTTTAAATTGTTATTGTAAATGCTCTGTGTGAAGGATGCATTTAAGCTTATTTTTCGATGTAGGGCGATGTCTGTGAAGTCAGAAAGAATCTATATTTTAATGCAAGCTCTGGACTGGAGCTCCTCATTGAATCTCTCTATAACAGGGTATATGCAGGAATCCTGAAGTCAAATGTAAGACCTTTTAAGACCTTTTTTAAGACCCTTTCCATACATTTTAAGACCTCATCGCCACTTTGAGTTTTAACCGGTTACATTGGCGACACACTTTACTATATACAGTATTGATTGTCCTTCCTCCTTATCTTCCAACCATTTGGACGCAAACTTGCATTTCCCCATAACGATGTTGTTTAACAACCGGCGTAAACTGACCTTCGCGCGCTATCAAGCAGTGAGCGTGCGATGTCCTGTTCAGATGACGTCAAATCCAACGGGATGCCATAAATAAACTACACAGAATCACACTACACACCTACGCAATGATTACATTCAGGCAGACTGTAGAATACAACCTCTTTGGACAATGTATATACTTATTGAAAACAAGCTACAAAATGTAATACCTTGGAAAATGCCGTTTTGAATAGCCTTAATTTTCGCTAAATTGATTTATCAACTTTGAATACTTTTTAAGACCCCGCGGACACCCTGAAATTTCAGTTGTGTTCAAAGACAATTCCCAAAATGCTCTTAAGAATGTATAATGTAACCTAAAGAACTAAGCTCTCTGTGCTGAGGCTTCCAGAGCATTCCCTGCACCAATCTTTAATAGACCAGTCTATCATCCTGGGTGAAAGCTCTGTGCAGTCTGACCTGAATACCTGTATGGTGCAGCGAGATAGCTATGTCACCTGACAGAACTTCATTAATGAGACATTGAGTAGTCCCTCACATTTGTGTTTGTCTGCACGGCGGGAAGTTAACTTTTAAAAAGGTCACAACAACTGGTAAAATCTCCAGATTCATTTAACATCTTTACTTTGGCAATGTAACCAACCTAAAGATAAAAGGTTATCTGTTGACAAAGTTGATTGAACACCATTATATTTGAAGGTGAGATTGGTCACATTAGCTATTAGCCTACTTGTGAAATTAATATGTACATGTGCTGTGCCAAGGTTGGCAACTAACCAATGTATGAATAGGACAACAAATGCCAAGTCCATGTTTAATGAGGCATATCAAATGAAATTGAATCAAGGCATGCAAATTCACACCCGACCTGACTACCATACAAAATATATCAAAATCTGAACCAAGCCTGAAGTGGGCTTATACATTTCTGAGTGACATTTGGCGCGACCCAACCATCACAATCCGGTCAAATGTCATAAGGTTTGAGCGGAAATGTCAAGCTCTTCAGCAGAATATTTCATATGCCCTTAATCGAAGATTGCTATCCGGAAAGCAGATTTCTGTTACAGATTTACATCCGAGGAAGTGTAATTATGCGCTTCGATGAAAGGTGGGAATGAAAAATGCTTTTTATATATAGGTTGTAATTGTTTTATATTCACAGAGAAGCTATAATAAAATCAAAGCATACACATGAACACAAACCCTACAACATACAGTAGTGGGAAATAATATGATTTACTCTTTGAAGAGAGTGGTAGAGCATGTCCAATCCAAACATTTCCTTTTGTAGTAGCATTGCTAACAATTAACTGAGTTCATAGAGGATGTTCCATTTATATTGAGAAGCACAACAAGTAATAACAACTGTGTCAGAGCATGACAACCGCAGCTTCATAATTTAACGATTTTAAGCCATTTTTGTTAAAGCAGCAATACTTTTCTGAATTTAAGAGCTTCATGGACAGCTACACTGCAACACCTATGCAACAGTGTTCCTTGCTACAGTAGAGAGGCAAAATGTCAAGGTCTTATGAGCTAGACGTTGAATATTAACACCATTTTTTAAAGCATGATTTGTATTTGTAAAGTCCACACTAAATTGACACGAGTTTCTGTTCATATGATTAAATGCTCACACCCATACCGCTTGTAGGTAAAAGCAAAAAGAGGCTTTTGTTGATCCATTCATACAGGAGGTTGGTGAAATAATAAAAATAAAATAACTTCCTTTTGCCAAAAAAAAATTGCCACTGTTTATCTCCTCACACTCGCAGTCTTAAAGATAATCCACAACATAATCTCTACCCTGCTAATAACTCCCACCAAGTATCCGCAGTCTGTCCTAAAGTCACGTGCGCTCATTTGTTACGGTAACAAATAAAACATAATATACAGTAATTGCAATTTTCAGAGTAGACACACGTGAGTAAATAGAGCTTGAATAAATGTTTGCACTGATGTACATTTCCCAAAGATATTGAAGTAAAGTTATTTTGTATATATTGATTGTTGTGCTTTTATCTTAATGTGTGCATATGTATAAATGTGTCAGTTGATTGTGTATATATAGGATATACATATTTTTATACATATTTGTATTTTTGTATTCGGGATTGTGGGAAACGGTATTTCGATCTCTGTCTGTACACACAAACTGAAAGATGGACAATAAAGTTGACTTTGATAATAAACAATATTTAACTGCTAAAGGCATTTGGCTCACTTTGTATTGAAAAAATGAAGTCTATCTTGAAGGTAGGGCTGCACGATATTGGAAAAAACTGACATTGCGAAAAAATGTCCCCTGCGATATGGAAAAATACAGGAATTGAAGAAAAGACCATTTTTTTTGTCCGCAAACCATCCTTTCTTGAACTTTAATGCTATACAATTGGTATTTTTTTAACGATATTTAACCGGATGAAGGATTTTAGTCACGGACTTCTGGATCTTAAGTTATCAGAGCAACAAGCTGAGCTAGCTCGGTTATCCTGCTGTGATCTGATCAAGAATGATTGTGATTGGTCGTTTGCTGTGCATGCAGAGCCTGCATGTCACTCACTCAAGTTCCCCTGACATGAGAGCCGCGCAAGTTTTCCTTTTGTAGCAAGCAGCAAAATAATTGTAACATGACGTGTTTGAGTTAATTTGCCTATTTAAAATCGCACGTCCTAAAAAAACAAAATTGCACGTCCTGCGATGTGAATATCGCGAATGCGCATAACGCGATTATCGTCACTACACGATATATCGTACAGCCCTACTTGAAGGTGAGTATATTTTCCTTTTTAATCAACATTTGAATAACCTATGCTTATGTTATTCTAAACCATAAGCCTTGCAATCTATATAATGACTTATCAGGGTTCATACAGTTTTTCACCAATGATTTTCAATTACTTTTCCATGACTTCTCCATGACCTTTACCTAATTTTCCATGACCAAATAATTACTCTTTTCTCAGCGGTACCACTGAAAATGGTTTATTTTAACATGGAACAGGAAAATAAGGTCTGAAACATGTTGTGCCTATCAAAAACAAATCAAATAGTAGGCTTACTAGCTTCTACACGCTAAAGCAACTAAAATCTCTCACCAGCAAAATAGCTCGACAGTTAAAAGCCATTTTATGTTTCATTACTATACGATACAGTATTTATTATCGTTATAGTATTACTATTTTTGGCGATTAGATAAAATATAAATTATATTCGATGCAACTTTAGTTACATTTCCATGACTTTTCCAAAACTTTGGGAAAAATATTTTTTTCCAGGGCCTGGAATTAGCATTTAGAATTTCCATGACTTTTCCAGGTTTTTAATGACCGTAAGAACCCTGACTTATGTTTCAAAACATATATTTAATGCAAACCCAAAATAAAGGTATTTTTGTATTTGTTGTTCTTTTACTCAAAAGGGAAGGAACCACAATCCAAATTAATTAGAAAGACAAAAAGACTCTACAGTGAATTACTATAACTGCAATCACCAATGAAATTAGACAAAATGTACGGTATAAAAATACAATCTAGAGTTACAGAAAGCTGTGAATAAATACAACTAAGCTCAAAGATAAAGCAAAACGATCTATCTTGGGTCTGGATATAAACAGTCAGAGAGGCCCAACCTTCAGGTATTGTATATCATAATGCATGGAAACAGAAAACAAAAACAGAATCCTAAATCTAGGCACACAGTGTTCCTACCAGGCTTTCCTGTCCTTGGAAAATCAGCAAGTGTCCAGATGCCGCAATTGTCAGGAAAATGTCAGGTTTATCACGATTTGCCTCGAATAGCTGGTGAGAAAAAAGGAGAATATTAGGGCAAAATGTGTATTCCCAACTCATGATGGATCTTTCTATACATTTGAGAGGTTTTTTGTCAAGAAGAAATAAATGGTAGGCTATAAGAGACAGTTCATCAGCATTGAATTATACATTTCTATCTGCTCCTTGAGGTGTTTTATAAGATCACGAGTGTCTAGAATAATTACTTTTATTTAATATCAGCCAGATACAATCTTGTAATCCCAGACTCACAAATTGAGTTGAACTGTATATTACATCCTGCAATGTGGTAGAGTCTTGTGGGTGGAGTGTAATGGCGCATTTCCACTGCAGGGCCTCGCACGGCTTAGTACGGTATAGTTAGGCCTTGGTAGGCCAGGCTTACTTTATGCTGCGTTTCCATTACAGTTTAGGAACTGGGGTAGTAACTATAGTAACGCAGTGTAGGCGGAGCCGTGACGTCATCTTCAATGCGAAACACAAAACCAACATCAGCCGTTAGCTGTTAGCCCTCAGAGCTCACAGCTCCTCATATCTGTTCAGAAACTAGACAAAAGTTAAACAAGTACAAACCACAGACTGCCTGTGTCATGGTGAATACAGTCGCTGCTTTATTTTTGTCTGTAGGCCGTTGTTGTGAGTGTGGACGGTCGGAGCATATACAACGTTAGCTTAGCCGATCTCCATTCAGAAAACACGCATTTTAAAAGGTTTTTCGCCTGCCGTCTGTCTGCAGACTTGTCAAAGCATTAATTCATGATTTTTACTAACCGGTATCAGTATGTTGTTACTTCTGCATCATTTTTTATTGAAACGTGTATTACAATTAAATCACGGTCAAATATGTTCATTGCCAGCGATTCTCTCACTAGTTTAGCATACTCAGCCCGGTTGTTGGCCCGGAAAGAACCTCGATTTTAGAAGCCAGAAAACTGTGAAAAAGTACCCGCTAGCCGGAACTACCCCTAGTGGAAACGCAACCAAAAACGGGCCGGGCACGGCACGCTTAAACCGCGCTGTAGTGGTAATGCGCCATAAATGTACCTCAACTCATTTGGCACAAAGACTTAGGAATGTATTCATATTACTGCATTTCTGTACCAAGAGTCGACATGATGTAGGCAGATATTGTTTTTCGCAGCCATCTATCTCTGTGTTCACTTCTCACCACACATATTGCTCCATTTAGAGTCAGATGCAGTCAATGAAAGACAAACTCCTTAAAGCTACAGTTCTTACACTTGTTTCAGCAACACAAAAACATCCCCAAATCTCTTTATTCCCAGCTCACGGCTAAAGACTCAAAACAGATGGACGGCAAGTCGAAGATGAACAACAAAGTCTTTAACACAGTAACTTAGTTGCCAAATTAGTGTTAGGCAACAGTGAATAATTATATTTCTACTTTGTCATATACGTATTTTGTAGTTTGATATATTTATGAATTTGTTAATGTAAACATGTTTTCATGTAGCTGTATACTTTAGCTGTAATATAATTTAAATTATATTCAGCTAATGCTTTTTGCTCCAAATTGATGATGATATATATTTCTTATAGACTAACATTTACCTTTAATACATGTGAAACTTTTCATGTGGTTTGGGCCAAGAAGCGATACTGCACTTTCATAAGGGATGCAGCTAATAGAGCTGTTAACTTATAAGTATTGAACAAGTATTACTTTGTTTAATGCTAGTGAAGAAAATGTCATCAATAGTAACTATTTCAATACAAAACTGCAGACATTTTTAGAACAAAACATGTCTTGTAAAAAATAACAAGAACTAAAATAAAATGGAAATATGTGTGTCTTATCTGTCAAGGGTAATAATGTATTGGTATGGATTTGGAGTGACATGGATGCTCTTGAAAAAAAGAGCATTTTTGTAAAATCAATTCATGACAAATCAGTAATCAAAAAATAGTCTAAAATAAAATACACTTTTATTATTTTACCATCATTTTAAATAATATTGTCTAGTTTGCACGAAGGAAAATAACATTGGTTTTGGGTCATTAAAATGGTAATGTATTGACGGTCCCGACCCTAAGTGAAACCATGTGGTCCGGCAGTGGCTCAGTCAGTAGGGGGCTTGGACTGTGAGCCGTAGGGTCACCGGTTCAAGTCCCCGAACAGACCTAAATATGGAGTGTGGAATGCTACTTGGAGAGGTCCCAGTTCACCTCCTGGGCCCTTGAGCAAGGCACCGGACAACCTCACTCCTGCTCACTCCTTTCCATTTACAACTACAATAAGAAGCATGTTAATGTTAATCTAACCGGCGACCCACTAGCACCCCCCCTCCCCAAGTATGGGTCTACATTGAAACTTTATCAACAATTTAAGCATTGAGTTTGAATTCATGTGTGCACACAATACTGTTTCAATAAGCAAACACATGATAGCTGCAGAATATAATTAATTGTTGTGACTAATAAGAGCAGCTAATGTCAGCCTTTGAAGAGATGCTAACGTTAGCATAATCGGAAAACTAGCTAAGTAACTAACTAGTGAGCTAGCATAAATCATGTTAATAACTTAAATATCTTAAAAGCCGTACCTTCAAAGGCGTTCCACCTGTAGATCCCGGAACATAGCGCCCATAGCGTTTTAACGTCCATGTATGACTGGTGTCCATTTCAGTATTTTTTGCGTATTTTCTGGCTAACTGAACAACAACACTTGACTGCTAATAAAAAGTGGGCTGGCCTGTTCAGTGTTCACGCATTGGCGCGCAACGTGAGGACACCGCCCACTTCAACCAAATGCGTAACACATGTTTTACTTTGACTGACCAAAGACTGTCTTCTCTTTTTGTATTATTTTCAGGAATGACAACACTTGTATGCAGTGGTGTAAAGTAACTAAGTAGATTTACTCAAGTACTGTAGTTAAGTACAATGTTTTTGCTACTTTGTACTTCTACACCATTACAATTCAGAGGTAAATGGTGTAGCCTACTTTTACTCCACTACATGAATTGAATATTGAATACCTTTAGTTACTTAGCATATTTGGATTAATGATGTGAAATATAATAAACTCTGAAATAATACTTAAGATATATGTATGGATTCAACATTACTTTTTTTTATTAATTTGCACCTTTACCAGCTTTGATAACACTAATGCATCAATGTTTATAATCAAAACATATGATTTAAATGATTCTGCAATGGGCCAATCTGCATAATGAGTACTTTACTTTAAGTATATTTTGATGCTAATACTTTTGTACTTTTAGTTTTGTAAGATTTCGATTGCAGGACTTTTACTTGTAACAGAGTATTACCACTCTGGCACTTTTATTTTTTCTTGAGTACAAGATCTGAGTACTTTTTCCACCAGATCCTCTCCTTGAGTAAAAGTACAAATACTATGATCTTAAAATACTCAGCTACAAGTAAAAGTCCTGATTTTGAAATTCTACTTAAAGGTAGGGTATGTAAGTTTGAGAAACCGGCTTGAGATACACTTTTTGTTATATTCCATGGAATGCTCTTAACATCCCGATAGCAATGAATATCTTAAGTGCTTTGACAAAAAATCCATAAAAAAATGTCATCTGTGGAAGCCGTAGTACTGTAAAAAGCACGACCAATCATTTTAGCCGGCCCGGCTAAAATAACTGGATGGCCTACCTGCCTGTCAGCCTTCCATCTGTGCACAAACTTATCTTGTGCCCTCATTGGTCATGTGCGCGTTCGTGTGTGTTGGAGGAGGGGCTCTGTAAGGAAGTGGCAGATTTTCTCCGGTCGTGTATTTTCAAATTCTAGCGATCTCGAGCCGGTTTCTCAAACTTACCTACCCTACCTTTAAGTTAAAGTGCAAAATTACTAGTATTAAAATAAAATGACCTATTTTAGAAAAATATAAATTAAAGAAGTATTAACTGCTAAATGTACTTCAAGTATCAGAAGTGAAAGTACTCGTCATTTGTCAATGTGGACACAATTATATAAAGTAAATAGCTGAGTGTTATACACATTTTGTGGAGTAATGAGTACAATGTTTACATTAAATGGAAATGAAAGTACTAATATGTCAAAAAAGTACTCAGTAAATATATTTAGTTACTTCCCACCACTGGTCAGTAGGTCATAGCCATAGGCCTACTGCTATGTTTTGGATCCACATCTATTGCTTTGTGACTCCAAAGTTGGCCAAAGGGGAAAGTGTCCAATGAAAACATATGATTACATATAAAAAGAAGCACATAAAGATTTTATGTGCAAACAATCTTATTTGGGATCGATACTCTGTAGCTTTTCTGCTTTTCCCATAGACTTATATTTGTATTATGACCAAGACTAAGTGAGTGGTACATTTGCTCTGCTGTTCACAAGGTGACACGGTTTATAAAATTGCCTCAAATCAGTTTTGTTGTTGAACATTGCTATATACCAATATGTCTTGTGTTTGTTATTTCAAGGTATTTTTTGGCTTCTCTGCTTTATTGGATAGTGATATCTTGGAGAGAGAAAAGGGATGACAAGCAGCAAATGGCCCAGGCTGAACTGGACACAGCCTTGATACATGGCAATATAGAAGGTGAGATACCAGGATTCCTATCTGTCCTTATGATTCAGGTATTATCCTATCCTATATTCATATTGTTGTAATTGACTGATTCTATGTCAAAACAGTCCGTAAATGTTGTTGTTCCTGCTAATTAAAGCACCATGTTATATGCTATTTGAATAAAGATTATTATTATATCTCCAATAAAGTTTCAGCAGATAAATCAGCTCTATTATGTCTACCTTGTCTGGCTCACAATAGTTTGCTTGTAAACATCCAGGCTGATCCCCACTCTGTAATTTATTTTTCTTTCAATGTCCAGCTGCTATGACTAACAAGAGACTCAGCACAGATAAGACATAAGACAGAAGATGGTAAGAAAATGGATGATGGCTCTCAAAAAATTTCAAAACAATCTGAGCAAAGTAAAGTTGTGATCACACATACTGGCCTTGATAATCCCTGATATTATGATATGTTGCTTTTAAAAAGTGCTTTGTATAATACAGAAGTTGGGTATTTGAATTGTTTTACGAATCTTATAGATAGTATGGCGTTAATGAAACGTCATGTCCACCTTCCTTCTTGAACACATAACACATATTTTGAAAATCCTTAGGATCCTCAGTACAGACAGATTCTCTCTGTCTGTACCTGAGGACTCTCATGTTCCGAATAACCCAGCTTCCCCCAAATTTCTTTTTGGTGTCTATCTACGCTGGGATCCTGAGTCGTGGCTGATCCTGAGTCCTGAGTCCTGATCTGAGTCCTGGATTTCGAGTCGTGGCTGAACCTATCACTGTGGTCCTGCCTGACTTTCATCATACTACTTCCCTGATGGCTCCCACAGGATTGTTGACATCCTCCTGGATTCATCTTCTTATTACTGTATAGACACATGCATTTCCAAACATTTGGTCTACCTATGTTGGAAATGTATTATCTTTTCGATTTACACACAGCATCGATTGCACGTCTGTCCGTCCTGGGAGAGGGATCCCTCCTCTGTTGCTCTCCCTGAGGTTTCTCCCATGTTCCCCTTTAAACTGTGGGGTTTTTCCTTCTTTGGAAGTTTTTCCTTGTACGATGTGAGGGTCTAAGGACAGAGGGTGTCATATTGTCATACTGATATTCTGTACAAACTGTGAAGTCCACTGAGACAAATGTAACATTTGTGATATTGGGCTATATAAATAAACATTCATACCTTTTATAATAATTGTATATATTATCATTTTTTACCAGAGACTCATCTATCTAATTTAAATGTTGTGCTACAATATATGTAATTTTTTGCAAGGCAAATGATGGCCATTGCAATGAATTTATGTTTATATTACACAAGTAAAATATGGCGTTATTTAAGTCGGACTTTCAGGGAAATCAAACTAACTAAATATTTGCAGGATTTATCATTGAATAGTTTTGTGTTTGTTGAGAAGAACAATATTTAAAATGTCTGAATATATTACTTTATATATTTTGTTGTTAAATGTTAAAGAAATGTTAAAGATACTCAATGGGTTAATAAAATAACATTTAAATGTATACATGTAGCTTTGATATACATTGCCATTTGAAAAGGGACTTGGCAGTTCTGTATGGGAGCCAGTCGATAAAACACCTTTTGCCAAATTGAGCCTATTCCAGCTCCAACTGTATTTGTGTGCGCAATTTACGCAGTGAATCAGACTGATAATAGTGCTGGGAAAACGGGCTACTTCCAAGTGAAGTCCACAGCATGGCTGAACAATGGCTTTGCACTGCCTACCTGTAGCCTTAACTTAAGAGAGCGTTTTAAGAATGGGAAGAGCATTCCCCTTTAAACAAGGTGGGCTGAGCTTATTTGCAGTTCTCGCTCCTATGGCAACCCAATAGATCAGCATCATGAATATTCACAATTTGCCAAAACGCACCATGACTATGGATCAGTGATGTCAGCGGTCCCTGGAATGCTCTACTGTATTTTGTATGATTGTGTCGCGTTGTTTGATGTCAGCTGGAGAAAGACGTCTGGTGAAAAGAGCATCCTTCGTCGTGCATGACCTTTCCCTCGTCTCCATATCACCGTCCGTCTGCACGTCCCTCACATGTCACGCTAAGGTGACTTTCAAGCAGTTTTTTCCACTTTTGCGCACAATGTCGGAACGGCACAAAGATCGGGGACGCAGTGGCCAAGCGGACCGCCCAGGCTGTGCGTGAGGACATATGCAAACTGTCTGGTAGTCTTATTATGATAAAGTGTATCCCTCATCTGTTTCAGTAGAGCCACGGCGGTCCATGTCATGTGTAGCAGGCTTTCAGGGATTCAGATTAGCTCCAGACTGATCGCTCTCACAAACAGATAGGAAGCGCGGAGGCTGGTGGAAACAACCGTTACTATACAGCCTATAACAACCTGGATTTATTTCATTTTCTCCACTTAGTCTCAATGTCATAATGGAAAGGCTGCACTCCTCCATGCGTAAAAGGCTCTATAGTTTGCCACAGCACATTGGACAAAAAGCATCTATAATGGGGGAAGGAGAAGACGCAGACAAGGACACCCGGAGGAAGAGTCTCAGGATGAAGCCTCTTCTGTCACCGTCGCCGACCTCTGGAGGAAGCTGCAAAGGCATCGGGGAGACCAAAAGTGGGGAGACTGTGATCATGGAGACGGACATAGGGAGACCGATGAAGACCAGCTCAAATGGAGATTGTCGGAGATTTCGAGGCAGCCTCTCTTCCATCACAAGTCGCCATGTGCACGACTCTGACTCGGCGGAGGAGAGGCGCCTCATCACCGAGGGGGATGTCACCCCGAGCGAGGAGAGCCCCCCCGGAGCCATCGGTGATGGGCCGCCGGATCAAGGCGCGCAAGGGGCCAGCGGTGGCGGTGGCGGCGGCGGTGGTGGTGGTGGTGGTGGTGGTGGTACGCAAAAAGATTCACCAGAACAGCAGTCAGGGTTTATAAAGTTGGATGACATTGATCAAATTCTGCCGGACGACGAGAGATTATTTCAAGCAGGGTTCATGCACAGACAGTTAGGGGCAATGCTTCAACCAGGGGTCAACAAGTTCTCCCTGAGGATGTTTGGAAGTGAGAAGGCGGTGGAACGAGAACAAGAGCGGGTTAAATCCGCCGGATTTTGGATAATTCACCCATACAGTGATTTCAGGTAAATTCAGCACCATACACTCCTGCTCCCCAAACAACACAAGGTTTAAAGTGAAGCATCACGTTAAAATCATTGTCTTTCCCACTCAAAGTATTTGTCTCACAGTGTATATCTTGTATAAAGGCAGAGCAGCCTATTCATTGTTTTATTCAGCTTCATGGCACTTTCATTACTTATTTACCCCATTTATTTATAAAATATGACATTTGACCAAAGCCATATTTATAATTGATTTCCTTTACTGCTATTTAAATATACTTACAATTTAATAATGATATTCATAAGCAGTAAACTAATTACATTAGCTTCAGGATATGGTCCTATTATTCAGGAGGCATGTATACAATGTGTTGTGTTAAAGAACAACACACAGAAAACACAACCTTTTCTAATTAGGCCAATTTACCTATCTGGGCAGATGCTATCCAAATGGATGCATAATTGAAGCCCGTTAGTGGTTTCTTATTTATTTGAGGAAGCTTGTGCACAGGGGACATTATTCATCATTGATTAGAGTTAGCTATGAGGCCTCCACTTAACATTGTTTTCTCAGGCACATAGATTTTCCTATTCTTCTTTTATGCATTGTATTATAATATATATCCGTTTAGTCTTAATTATGAGTAATTGTTAAAGTTTTGAGCAGTTTTGGAAAGAACAACACATTGTAAGTCTGCATTGTTGTAGTGACCCACTGTGGCTGCACAACTGAAAGACCACATGTCCTCTTTTGTTGGCATGCAGATTCCTCTCTGCTGTATGTGCCCTTGAGTTTGTTATTGGCCATATGCATTTGGCCATATGCATTTGATGTATGGCCACATGGAGTCTCTTAACAGCGAAGCCAGACTAGATTGGTCCTTTACCCCTTTTTTTGGCTTTAAGAATTATTATAATATGCTTTTAAACAATTGGTGAAATTCATTTGTTTGATTAAAGTGATCTCAGAAGATTAATTTCTAAGAAGTTCTAGTGAGCTGTTTGTGTACACCTTGCCAAACAGTATGATTGTAGCTTGAACTACAAAGTTTACATATACTATTACACAAGTGAGTATACAATCTTATTAGATGGGCCTCATATAATATGATTTTAATAAAAAGTGCTCACTCAATTTGCTTCCTTTAATCTATCGAATTAAATTAGGTTTGAAAAGATACATCTATTTTGTATTATATGTAGGTAATGGAGCTTCTCTTTTGTTTTAATTGAACTAATTTGCTCTGGTTTAATAATTCAGGTGAAACACTTTCATTACAAGCTGTGTCAGCCTTCGCATTTAGTTCATGCACCTCTCATATAAATCATGTTGAGACATCTGTGTTGATGTAAAATGATATTGAGCAAGACTGTCACCGTTCCACTTACTGTACTGTATTTCTCCTTGTCTGTGACATTGAATGTTGTCTAGTCTTCCTGGTGTTTGATTGGTTAGGATGGCGTAATGGCATGTTATATAGAAACTCAATTTACACCACAGTGTGAATAACAAGATATCTGACTTTGAGAGAAATGTGAGTTTTGAGTGTAAGTTGCTTACACACTCGGCGTCAGAGAAAAAACCCAAGACTTCGTAAAAAAGAGACACATTTATCTGCCAGTTTATCCTCAGTGAAGGAAGACCTGCAGTGGCTAACATATCTCGATGCGTTATGACCAGAGTTGGGTGTAACGCGTTACAAAGTAACGCGTTACTGTAATAATATTACTTTTGTCGGTAACGGAGTAGTGTAACGCGTTACTTTTATAATTCAGTAATCACACTACAGTTACTAACATTGCCCCGACACGCGTTACTTCGTTACTTTTATAAAATCAGTCATAATCACACTGACAGACAAGAGGGGTTTCCGCCGCAGGTTTATATGTACGTAATCTGCGCGACTTGCACGTCCACATCTCCGCGTGCAGTGCTGCATAAACATGGCTGAGTCAGCGATAACTTTTGAGGGGTGGAGGTATGCCCATTATTTTGAGTTCGTCCGAAGAATAGACAGGAATGTGACGGTGAGGTGCAAACTGTGTCCAGGCCAGAAGCTGTTATCCACTGCTGCAAACACCACGTCAAACCTCAACAAACACCTGCAAAGAACACATGCTAAGGTGAAGCTAATAGCTAAGGACCCCCGAACCCAGAGTGAGGATGTTGTGAGTGCGCCGCCGCAAGAATTTGGAGGACCGGTAACCAAAGCAGAGATGGACAGGCTTGTAGCATCCTTCATAGTAGAGGTAATGTTGCCCATTTGCACAGTGGAATCACCATCGCATCGTTCAGAGATATACTGCGCAAAATACAGATAGCAGGAGACAGAGGACAGCCATGGTCAGAGCTATCTGGATCAGTCTTATGCGACAATGGAAACTGAACTAAAGAGAACATTTCAAACTTTAGCAGTCTGCGTGATCTGCCTGCAGGGAGGGGCTGGCCGGCCCTGCGAGTAAAGTAACGAGTAAAGTAACGAGTAAAGTAACGAGTTACTTTATGTAGAGAGTAACGAAGTAGTGTAATATATTACTCTTTTTTTTAAAGTAATATGTAATATGTAATATATTACTTTTTTTTAGTAACGACCCCATCTCTGGTTATGAACATTATATTAATGGCTGATTCATCCCTCAGATGTCATGATGTAGTTTTTCTTGTGCATTTGAGAAGAAAATGCTATTTTGTATAAAATGTAAGCCACCTTAGATTTTTGATTCAGATGTACCTCAGAATTTGACCCAGGTGGCCAACACTGTTATTAAAGTGTTGCCAGTGGTGATTGTGATTTTGCATTTCGAAATCTAGTGTCTGCTCACGCCAAACCGTTAAACAAGGGGTTTCTTAAGCATACTGTTCTCTGGGAACTATTTCCAGATTTACTATAACACTACACTGATTAAGACAGGTCATCATCAGGAAGTGAGACATGAATTAGACAGTTTGCCATTTGTGTTGTGCTCCTCCCAGCTGGTTGTGTTTCCACTGACCCCCTCTGCTCTCTTACTCACTGTGTTAAATGTCATGAGGAAGGGTGATTTGGGGCTTGGGGAGACTGTCCTGATACTGAAAGGTCAGAGATTTGGCACCAGTCATCAGTTTTGAGCAATATGCTGAAACAGGGGCAATACACTGCTCAGTGAAATAGATGGACATGTGACTCTCTCTCTCTCTGTGAGAGCGTCCAAAATAAATGGATAAATGAAAATGCAATGAGACAGAAGTGCTCTAAAAAATGAGGTTAGCCACCCACTTGTTCGGGGTCTGAGGGTAGATACTATATCTTACCGTAATTAAACATTGTGCTGGTCTGAGATCAGTTTGCTTGTTCTTCAATCACTCAGAGCTATGATTACATAATCACTCAACACTACAATTAAAACCACAGATGTAGCAATCGGCAGAGAAAAAGCATTGAACCTGTGCTTCGGCTAATTGTGTATGGAATTCTTTATCTGTGACTTACATGAAAAAGACAAAAACTCCTCACTTTGAATCACCAATGGATTAAAGGTTAATAAGTGAAGGAACATCAACCATTTCATCAGTATTGGTCTGCTTCAAATTATATTTGAAGCCCATTTACTCAGAAAATAAGTACACCATGTCATTGAGTTAAGACGGCGTGTTGAGATGAGTTAGTATTTTATTTTTAATGAACTCTAGGAGAAACATGATAGTTGGATGCCTAATTCCGCCAAAATCAGGATCAGAGACAAGATGGCTATAATTAAAGTACACAAGGAGATGAGGGGGACCTTTTAATGGGTCCAGAGAAGAGAAGGGTCTCTGTGACTAAAAGTTTTTTTTCCCATGTCTGCATCAAAGCCTGGCCCTATAATCTCAAATTAGAGTGTCACAAGGAATCACATAGTCATCATCACTGCATCCGAATTGAGCAAAATCTCCTCTTGTCAAGTTGTATAACGCTAAGAAGCAAGGGAGGAGCAATATCTTGCAAGGGAAAAAGATGGATTAAAAATGGCATCATAATCCAATCTACAGCCTCATTTCCAGATCCAAAACTGAACAGCCTTCTTCCACTTTGAACAAGCGACTCCCAGTGAGCAGATGTGGTCACCAGAGAGTGACATCCTCAACTGGAAAAAAAGAGACAAGTACAAAATCAATTATAAGAAGTATTTTAAATGAGAAAGATTGTGTAGTCCTTGAGCACATGCTGACCATAACACATCTGTGGGGGTTTGAAAGGATTGTTACTGCCCCTCATCCTGCTCCTCTCCGGATGCTTCTTTTGCATATTGGCTTTGCTACCTACTTGTCACCGTCTTGAAAATGTGACTTTGTTGTTTGAATGCTGCTGTACCTTACTATGCGGAGACCTTTTGATGCTGCATGCCCTTGGTCGTAAATAGAGATTGAGATTAAAATCATACAATGCTTACTGCCCCTTTTGAAGATAATAGAATATTCCAGTGCTTCATTGACAAAATGATACCTTTCTCACACAATGGGTCCTCTTTCTGTGCGTGATGAAAACCAGGTGATCATTTATTTTCTTAACTGTTTGCATAGGGCCCTTTTGAGTGGATTCTATCAATGCAGCAGCATTGTGCAGAGTTCTAGACAGATGATGCGGCGCAATATTACAACGCAGCCCTCTGCTCGTCAAGAGCCTTTTAATTATCTTGTGATTCAGAGCCCAGAGGACACATCTGTTTGAAGTTTTCCACATTTTCCTGGAGAGATGGAAAACAAGGTGTCGCACATGAGAACTTTTGCACTTAAGGATCTAATAATCCCCCATCTTTCCCCTTTGGAACCACATTGTCAACACTATCAAAGAGGGGGGGGGGTCAACTGTCCTGCAGTTTCTGTCAATCAGTTCAATCCCTTTGCAACCGTCGGGCGAATCCCTCCATCCCCTCTCCACTTTTTCAACAGCCTTTTATTACTCCAGTTCTGTTTCCCAGAAGACTCCTACCTGGACAGTGGCAAAAATAGATCCTCAGAAAAGACAAGTTACAACTTCAGTTATTTTCTGCAGAAAATATAC